TTAGAATCTAGTAAATGTCTTTTGTTGTTATATCCAAAAAGATATCTTTATTGACCTACTGTACATACCTCCATGTTGTTACTTTTCCAGTTATTATTTTTGTAGCTATATTAGTGTAAGCTGATAGGTTAATATGACTTGATTATTAATGGATCAGTTAACTTCCTATGGGAAAAAAGACCACATAGCATAGCACAATGACTCCCATTGGCAATAAGCCTTAGTAATCTAATAACATTTTCCTTTCTCAGGAGTGTCAGTGGCCGAGTGGCTGGTCCACGGGAGTGCAGGAAGCCCTAGTAGTGGCATGGAGATCACAGTTGGGGAGAGTGGGGCTAGTGGGGACCTAGGATGTGTGGAGGAGAGCAGCAGTGGCCTGGAGTGCGTCAAGGAGGTGGATAGCTCGGGACTGAGCCATGCCGTTACCATCAGTGAGGATGGCAGCATCACCTCAGTGCCTCTGTCACAACTTGCACCATTGCATTTGCAGTTGGAAAGTAAGTTGATTGTGTAGATAAAGTAAGAAAATCCATTTCTTTCACTTCGTGTTTTATTTTTATTTATGATTTGTAATTTTTGTTTTGAACAGTAGTAGAAAAGACTACAAGTCTGCCTTTTGCCTTCAAGATAACTTTGGTAAGCTCAGAGAATCATCCCCCTCAAATTTTCAGTGGTCTCACCCCATTCAAGTTGAGGTAGTTGTTTCCAAGAATTATTTGATGAAATTGTCATAAAGAGACTATAAACCCCTTGGATGCAGCACTCACATGGCCCAAAATATGGGCATTAGGCTTTTGCTAGTGGCTGTTCTTGACAGGTGCACAGCTTGTAGGTGGGGCACACATGAACATGTGCGGTGACAAGACTCTATGACTCTCCTTTGCAATTATATATTATCTTTTTATGTTTAAGTATTTTAAGTGTCTCACCCCATTCAAGTTGAGGTAGTTGTTTCTAAGTTTTATGTTTTTTACCATTTCCCAATTTCCATAACTGTCATGACATGTTTTATCCAGATATTGATAAACTGTTTTCCTTGCACAGACTCCATATTATCACTCTAGGTAGTCCATAACTCAGTGCAAGAAAAATAAGAATATGTAATATTTTGTTATTTGTGTGATTTTTTTTTTTTTTTTTGTATCTTTAATTTTCTGTAATACAACCTGCGCTGTGACCAGGAATAGGATGTTGAGCATGGAAATGGTGCCAAATTCTATTTGAACATCATAACCCCTTCATCTTACAGATGACTACATGGTAGTGCTCAGTGATGACACAAGAGCACAAGAAGCAACTTCCTCTTTCCAAACACAAGACTTGCAACAGGTAAGCCTTGCACAATCATTTTCTTTTTCATTGGATATCAAACATTCATTTTGCAATTGTTCTGTCAGCATGGTTATTATCTAATGTATCTCAGTATTTGAATGATTTAAATGTTTTCTCCTTAACCTTGATTTTGTTTTATTTTTTATTTTTTATGGTTATTTGCCATCAAAAGAGCATTCTCCACAAGATTACACATTAGAACATTAATGCAGTTATGATTTTCATTTATTTGTTTATTTATTTTTTTCTTACAGGTTGATGAGTCAACTCTCACAGGACGATGAGACATCACACCAAGGATAACACTCGTGTCTTCACTACTCAGCCAGTAATGCTGTTGCCTCCAAGTTCAATGAGCTGTATACTGCCAATTTCAAAGCATGAAAAGTATTATCATTATTATGGTTATTACGGTAATCATTATCATTATATATTTTATTCCATATAAGGATTTCTGAAATGAGGATCTCAAGGAAAACTTTGATCTAGTACCTAAGAATGGCGTTTATTTGAATGCAGAAATTGTTGTTTAGCAACATTCCATTTATTTTCTTCTGTACCTACATATAGAAAGAAAGAATTATACTGTATTTATATGACAAAATATTTAAAAGTATCTTTTGAGTTGTGTTTATTTCCCTGCATTTGATTTGTCTTCTTCTTTGTCTTCATCTTCATCTTCCTTCTTCTACTTCTACTTGTACTTTTTCTCCTTCTTCTCCTTTCTTCTCCTTCTACTCCTTCTTTTCCTTCTCCTCCTTCATATGGGAATGATACTGAGAGCAAGGATATCTGCAGTTGTAATACAATTCTGTACATTAAAGAAATTTAGATAAATATGTAGATAAACAGCATGACTGAGGAAAGAGAAAGTTTTTAATTGATTTAATGTTCCCAAAGAAATATGTATTCAAAGTATATTCATTAGCATTATAATTACAAATGACATTATAATATTAACTAATGTAATTTAAGTTTTAGGGTCCCTAATCCTGGAGGGTACCTAAAAGCAGCTTTATTCCACGTATTCCACAATCCCTTGCTCGTTGTTGTGGGGGGCTTAGGAGATGGAGACTGAGACCCAATGTGATCACCCCTACCTTGGGCTCAGCCCTCATCTCTAACTAATTTTCCATGGTCTTTTCTTTTCCCCCTTTCCTTTTCTTTCTCTTCTTCATTCCCTTCTGTCCACATCCTAAAGTGTGAATGCCGTGTTGAGAGGATGAAAGTTTGGCTTTGTGTCATTTGTGAATAACCTTCGTACTCTGTTTGCTCTTTTCTTTTTTTTCACTCTCTCTTCTCCCTTTTCACCACCCTAAAGCATTTAAAAATATTTTGTCCTGATCATTAACTCATCTTTAATCTTTGCGTTACAATACTTTATCATTGTGCTGTATCACCTTTCCTTACCTGGCAGCTTTGCTTCCAAGCGTCACCTAATTGCTATATTCTGAATACGCAGCTAATGGCCTTTTCTTAGATGTTGATGTGGCAGAAAATTTCAATAAATAAATGAATTAGTAAACATGTTTAAAAATTAGGGATTACTATAGTGGTGCCCTAATTCTTTGCTTGCTTGTTTGTGGGGGGACCTTAGGAGACGAAGAATGAGACCTACTGTAGGGGATCACCCCTGCCTTGGACCTCAGCTCTCACCTTAACTAATTTTGCTTGGTCTTTTCTTCTCTCCCTTTCCTTTTCCTTCTCTTCATTCCCTTCATATGTCCACTTCCTAAGGTGTGAGAGCCATGCTGAAAGGATGAAAGGCTGGCTTTGTGTCAGTCCTGAATGGCTTCGTACTCCCTCTTTACCTTTCACTACCATACAACCCAGCGCTCTACAACCTTTTGACATTAACATTAGTCCTAACCATTACTCATTTTTAACCTTTTCTATATGCATAGACTTCAGAAAATGACACAACAAGGAAACTCCTACAACAAAGGTGGATGTAAATTAAAGGATTTTTTTTTTTTTTTTTTTTTTTTTTTTTTTGAAAAGTGTGCCATGCAATAAATTATTTCCAATTTTACACCATTTTTCTATTTTGTTTTGTCATTTCAGTGATGAAATATCGGATATAACACCCCCCAAAAAGCCAAAAAGGAAATATGTAGTCACACCAAGATGTGACATAATCTAATAATGCAATTTTAGTCATAAATTTGCATATGATAAAAAATGGGGATGATCTGGCATGGAACCATTCCACTGTAGTTGACAATGACTATCTAAACTATTTCCTATTGTGAATGGCCCCCAAGTATGATTATGCAGTCTCCTACAAGATGCTGCTTGCTTAATTGTTTGGGAAAAAAATACAGTCAAATGAATGTTGCAAATTTATTGCTGAAAAATTATGTCTTGTGCTGTGCAAAAATGTCCTGATGGAGGTCTGCAAATAAACTGACCTAATCTTTACTTTAAATGCTTGAAAGCTTTGTCATAAATGCTTTTTATTGGTGATAAATACATTTATATGACAATCTCTAAATCAGAAAAAGTGGTACATGTTCCTAATGGTGGAACATGTACCACCTGATACTAGATTTAACTGCTAGTGTAGTGTTCAATGAAATATAAATGTTTTTACAGTATATATCTGCCTTTCTGCAACTACCCCTCAGTCTCTCTCTCGCTCTCTATCTTCTTTTCTTTGCTTCTCCCCTAACTCTCTCTCTCTCTCTCCTTTGTGTCTATTCCTCTCCCCTCACTCTCTCTCACACACTTTCTTTCCTTCCTCTCACTCTCTCTCTCTTCTCTTTTCTTTTTTCTCCCCATCTCTCTCTCTCTCTCTCTCTCTCTTCCTCTCTCTCTCTCTCTCTCTCTCCTTTTCCCTCCTCTTTGTCTTCTCTCTCTTTCTGTTATCTCTTCTCTGCTCTTCTTTTTTTTTTTGCGTCCCTCCTCCCTCTCTCTCTCTCTTTCTCCCTCATTTTGTCTTTCTTCTCTTCTTTCTTTCTTTTCCTCTCTCCCTGTCTTCTCATCTATTTACTTCCTTTCTTTGCTCACCGTCATTTCTCTCGTTCTCTCTCTTTCATTTATCTTTTTAAGATGATGAGAAACAGTATTGATGCAAGGTAAAAAACAACAAAAATACTAATGCCGTAGCCAAAAACAACATTCAACAAACAACAACAACAACAAAACAAGAATAAAAAAAAAATAACATTCAACAAAAAAGCAAGATTATCCGATTTGATTTTTCGTCTAAGTCGGAAGAGGAAATCTAGCCGATTTTCAAGTTATCGTCTCGCCTTTCTAATGTATTTTATTTTATTTTGTTAATCATTGTTGTTTTGTCTACCTTCAGTATGAAATGTAGCAATAGTTTAATAAAATTGTTCAAGGTCACCATGTGAATAAACCAAATATTTCTATGTGTCTAAACCTTAACCCCAATCTTAAAATTGTTGGTAGAGAAACCTAGCATTTCAGAAAGGTTGAAGTCCTAACAAATAACTCGGAATATCAATCTCCATCTCAGCCTGTCAGTCTGTCTCTCTATCTATTTATCTGTGTGTAAGTGTGTGTGTGTGTGTGGGGGGGGGGGGTTGTGTGTGGGTGTGCGTGGGCGTGTGTGCATGTGTGTGTGTGTGTGTGTGTGTGTGTGTGTGTGTGGTGTGTGGTGTGTGTGTGTGTGTGTGTGTGTGTGTGTGGTGTGTGTGGTGTGTGTGTGTGTGTGCGTGCGTGCGTGCGTGCGTGCGTGCGTGCGTGCGTGCGTGCGTGTGTGTGTGTGTGTGTGTGTGTGTGTGTGTGTGTGTGTGTGTGTGTGTGTGTGTGTGTGTTGTGTGTTTGTTGTTCATGCTGTTCTGTGACTTAATTTTTCCACAGAAATATGAAAGCTATTAATTATTGAGAATCCTAAAGTTTAATCAAGAAACGGCAAAACAGATTTCTTCCATTTTTTCGAGAAGCAAAAATGTCGGTTACACAAAATTTACCCAGTTTAATTTGTCCTCTGAAGCTGCAGTATTTGCTTATTCTACATATATAATGATAATGTCTAACCGATGCTGAAGCAAATGCAATTAAAGAAGTGTGTTCGAAGATAAGTTATATATACCTTTTTTGAAATTCAAAAGTAGTTCGAAATTTTATCTGGTGAAACAGGCGTGTTTCGTGTTGCTCTTTGCGAATTTTCGGTTTTTCTTTATAACCATAGTGATTTCAAGACAAAATAATGCATTGTGTGCATTTGGTTGATCATTCTGCAACAGTCATGGAGATATGAGAAATATTTTGAAGATTCCGGTGAAAAATAACGTTTTTTTTGCTTCAAATCCAAGGTAGGTTATCCATTGTTTGCAAACATTCACGTTTTATTTTCAAAAGGTTAAACTAATGAAAGATTGATTTAATGAAAATCTCATTATTTTAATCTTCAAAAGGTTAAATCAGTACATAATTGATGTGATTAGTCTCGTTTTGTCCAATTGTATTGAGAGAAATATACACTACTACTAACCACCATTGCTTCCACTATGCTGGTGATGGAGTCGTTCTTTCCTCTTTATCTTTGGATTTCTATTTCTCTTTTCTTCGTTTCCTCTCTCTCAATTAGTGCTAAATGACCTTAGATGTTCAGCACATTTATTTATTCAAACTATGACCATTGATGATTTTCCTTTATCTACTACTCATTTATATATATATATATATATATATATATATATATATATATATATATATATATATATGTATATGTGTATATATATATTATATTTTTTTAATTTTTTTTATATTCCACTCGTGCCTTACCGTGTGTACTACTTCGAGTTAGAATTTACATTTATTCATATATTTTTTTGGTGTTAATATAATTTTGTTCGTAGTGGAAAGGATCGCAGTTTATTTTGAATCTGAATCAACATGGCATTGAATTGCATCTCATCATGATCACCATCACCATCTCCTTTACCACCACATCCACCACCATCATCAGTCACCACCACCCCCCCGCCGCCGCCATTAACTAGTGCTAAATGAGGCCCTTTCTTTCGTAATTCTGCGTGCAGGCGTATATTTCTTGCCATTAACGCACTGGCGTATTTTAACGGTATTCAGTATTCGAAAAACTGGCTTGTCGTATATTCATTATTGTCATGCTTACCACCGTCATCACCCCCCATCATTTGTCATCACATCATCATTATTATTATCCTAACATCCCCCTTTTCAGTGTTCAACGAAGCCAGGGTTATCAGCTGCTCAACTGGCGTATACCAAGTAACGTCGTTAGCGATGGTCGTTCCTGGTTTCAGCTCGAGTGTTTTTTGAATAGTTT